TATTTAATAAAAATAATATAATATATAAAATATAATATAATATACAAAATAATATAATTTGTAATATAATATAATATAATATAATGTATAAAAAATTGTCGCGCGATATGTCATAAAAGAAGCAGTTAGACATCCGAGAATCCATATACTGAAGGGAAGTTGGAAATGTTATGCGTTGACAGAAGGGCTAAAATCATGAATGAAAAGAGTATATCGTGAATATCGATCGAAACTTTTCTCACTTAAGTAAGTCGCGATGCTCGCGCTTGATCCGATAATATATAGGATTATTATCGTCCCGTAGAAATTTTCACATCGTTACATTATCGCGATAACTTTATTCGAAAGAAGGTAGAAAACGTAATGTACAATAATGTAAAATGAATATTATTTTATTAATATTAATAAATTAGTGAAAATAATGAAAAATTATATTCTCTATAAACATAATCTTCAATTATTTTCGTATTTTCAATTTAATTTTAATTATCTTTTCCAGAGAGTATGTTTCTAAATTATTTTAATATTTATATAAAAAGAAGATAAAATCATTTAATTTCTTAAAAATTAATATTTATACAATTTTAAAAATAACTGATCGCTATTGACAGACAAAATATTGAGGAATATTCTATATATCTTTTCTCTCTCTTGTTGAGTAATAAGTGTGTTTGTGTATGTGTGTATTTGTGTTCTTCGCGTAAATAAGTTATTTCCAGCAAGATCAACTGCCGAACGTCTCAAGATACCAAAACTGAATTTCAGTATCGTTTCACGTGTTTGTAGCTAAACGCAGCGTCCGAAAAAATTGCCACGAATTCTTCTCGACTTGTCAAAGTCGAAAAAATTCTTGCTCTAAAATTAATTTTAACCTATTTCTCGTCTCAAGCATTTTTCAATACTTCTTTTCATTTCACAATTTAAAATACACAACAAAAGGTTATATATATTACATGCTAAATCCGAGAAATGGAGAAGCATCTCGCATATAACATAACCTAACTTTCTCGACTCCGCGTCAGTCAAAAGAATCGTCTCGTTATATGATGCGAATCTCTCGAAACTGAGATAAATATTGAATGGAACAGAGCGGCTTCTGAATAATTGAAGTCTCTTCAATCGGAAAAGCTAAATATGAGTCAGGGGCACCCTGTATACAGAATAATGACGTCAGCGGCGATTGAGTAGTATGATTCCTGGTAGTTTCGCGCCGGTTATAGAATCACGGCAATAAGTTATAAGAGCTCTATAAACTGCGAGCGACTTAGAATACGATGCCATTACTCCTGTCCCGTTTCTACGTCATTTATTCGCCATCAAAAGCGCAATCAGGCCTCGAATTCGGTATAATAAAAGGCTCGTTAAACAATAGCGGATTATCTGCTAGAGAATAATTGGACTGTGTGTATATACTCTTGAAATTGACCGGCAGTCATCTCGATATAATAGAAGAAGAAATAATATGGGGAGAAGCGCGCGATAATTGAAGTGTAAAACGTGAAATATAATGCGCATCAAATGAATTAATATCGACGCTCCTCTTTCTCTTTCTCTCAATTGTCATTTTAATCGTCTTAATATCCGAACGAAACGCGAATAAAATCGTAATTGAAACAGACAATTAAGCGCTCGCGAATTAAGCGATTTGTTCTTCATCAATTTTGATTTATCTTCGATAATTTGACAAATTGGGGAAGAGAGATATATAAGTTGAAACCTACTAAATAAATATTAATAAAATATTGCTCAAATATATTTGTATGTATTTATATTAATTTAAGTCGCCGCTATCTCTCTTTCTTTTTAATTAATTAATGGACTCTTGATTTTATTATCGCGAATGAATAAACACGGAAAGTGGGGGAAACGAGGAGGGCTATACTTAAATACTATGTAAGCTAAAGTGAATGTGAAGTTTGCCGAGTTTAATTTATATTTCTGGGCGTAATTGCTTCTTTTTATTTTTCTTTTGCATTCGTTTGATTTATGGGGGATCGCGATAACGAGCGCCTGTTCGAGCCAGCGATGCCGAACATTTATTCCAGGGCATGCAGATAACACATGTGAGTGACGTCAAATGAATCGTAAGCCCAACTTCCGTCCATTGAGCATGCAAACTTTGCCCTGAATTATTCAAATTATAGGACTATCGTCAGCTGAGAATTGCAAATAACTATAACGGACGAAAATTCTCTCCAATGAGAAGTTTGATTAACATAACACGTACCCTCTTCTATTTTTAGCTTTGAAGATAATATAAGGTATATTATACTGCAGAATTTCACGAAAACATAATCTTTTTTTCCCATAAAATGTATTTAGCATAAAATTTTAACATAATTAACATAATTTTTAAAAAATTATCCGATGAAAGGTTAGGTTAATATAATACTCATCTCTCGTTCCTTTTCAGGATTAAACATCTAACGGGATATATTATAGAAAAAATTTTTTTTCTATAAAATATCTATTGTATTTAACATTTGATTTTATATAATTTAAAAAATTGACGTGGTACTATATATTTTTTTTAAATTATCCGATGAAAAGTTAGGTTAGGTTAATATAATACTCATCTCTCGTTCTTTTTCAGGATTGAAAATCTAACTGGATATATTATATAATTTTACAGAAAAAATTTTTTTTCTATAAAACATCTATTTAACATTTTAATTTTATTTAATTAAAAAAATTGACGTGGTACTATATTTTTAAAAAATTATCCGATGAAAGGTTAGGTTAGGTTAATATAATACTCATCTCTCGTTCCTTTCCAGGATTAAAAATCTAACGGGATATATTATATAATTTTACAGAAAAAATTTTTTTCTATAAAACATCTATTTAACATTTTAATTTTATTTAATTAAAAAAATTGACGTGGTACTATACTTTTAAAAAATTATCCGATGAAAGGTTAGATTAGATTAATATAATACTCATATCTCGTTCTTTTTCAGGATTGAAAATATAACGGAATATATTACATAATTTTACAAAAAAAAATTTTTTTCCATAAAATTTCTATTTCAAATTTTGATTTTACGTAATTGAAAAAATTGACGTGGTATTCTCTTCTATTTTCGATTGAGAATAGAAGTATCAAAACATATTATACACGCTACAGAGTTTCGCGATAAGTTTATTTTTATTTCTACGTGGTTTCTGGCGTAAAATTTTGATTAACATAATTAACATAATTCAAAGTCGATATGTACATAAATACATCGAATAAATAAAACTTCTTTTTATTTAAAAATAAACGAAACTCGCCGAGACTGTTTTCACTTTATTTTGGCGATGCGGAAGATACTTGAGAGTCCCTGCTGATTATGGCGCACAAATTGATAATGGAGCGTGTATTTTGATGCTTTGCGATAACATTTGGCACAGTGACGTCAAATGCGTACGCAAGTTCCCCGTTGCTTTCCGCTGACCCGTTACATCGTCAGTGGACATACAGCACAATCTTATATTCCCGCATGCTTTTGATTATACATGGTGTCACGGAGAGAAATAGCTGATGAATAAAATATTTCCGTTCTCGAAATATACGATAAAAATATATATATAGTGTGACAAACATATATATATATATATATATATATATATATATATTTTTACTAATTAATAACCGAATATATTGGAAAATCTAATAAAGAACTTAAATACAGTAGAATAATTTTTTTAAAGTAAATGTAAAGCGTACTAAAATTGTAAACTAAATAAAATAATATTTTCTTTCAAGGATGAATAATAAATTAAACATCAAGATATTTTCTTTTGATAAGAGAAGAATAAGTTAATTAACGCGGTATAAATAACGAGGAAATTAAACAGCGAGGATATTGTTTCAATGAAATTGACCATTCTTTTTCCATAACAAGTTAGTATCGATTTTTCCTCAAGTGTAATTTAATCTGCAACTTGATAGAAAGACTGTTAAATAAGGGCAAATATATAGATATAAATTGGGTAACACAATCTCATACTTCGATTAATTCAAAGTAAATTTCGCTGTTAATGAGGGAAAAAAACTTTGTATATCTCAATTAAACCAAAATTACGTTATTTTATTCGCAACAAAGTATATAACAAAGAAAAGAAAAAATTCTGATTTTCCCCAAAAAATTCTAAAAAGAATATAATTATAATTTGCGGGACACACTGTATAGGAGATTCACAACATCTCGTCTCATGTTATATATCTCGCGTTACATTCGTCATCCGTGCATCTGTAACCGATGGCGGCACGCGGCGTGTAAAACCCCGCGAGTACGAATTTATGTACCGGCATTATCGTATTAAGTATTATTTGAGCGCCGATTGAAATTGACATCCATTTGCTGGAGCGGTTCAGTAGCAAGCTTGACGTTGCCCCGAAGCGCTCCGCCATCTTTCACTACGCGATCGCATTTCGAATACATAATATAAAAAAAAAAAAAATACAGTGCAAACAGTTTATTATCGCAAGACAATACACAAGAGCACGATAATAGATAAAACAAATTTTTTTTAAAATGGTGAATTTCTAAATAAAGAAACAGCTTCTCGAAATGCAGCAGCGAATAACAAACAAATTTTTTTAAAAGTATAATAGATTGTATGTATTATTTTTTTTTTTTTTTTTTTTTTTACAGAATTTATTATTGCTAGAATTCTTGGAGATAAATATATAAGAAGAGAAAAAGGACAGAAAGGAGAGACAATAATACCGCAAAAAATTATATGATATATAATTAAATTATATAATTTGACAAAATAGAATCACATTTTTATAAAATAAGTGTTTAATGACATAATTGTCTAGTAATTATACATTAACTGAGTAAAAATAAATATAAATACCTGCGTCAAAATGAAAGGAGAGAATACATTAGAGGTAAATCTAGAAAAAAATTATAATAAAAAAAGTCGAAAAAGGAAAGATATTCTAACATTTTATAGAATACAATTTCGAAATATGATTAATAAATGGCTTCGTCTCGATGATCTTCCAGTGGGAGAGCTCAGAGTCGGACTTCTCGGATGCTGAGGATTCAAATGAGTTAGGAGCCAGTGTTAGCCCCAAAAGAAACGCGATGGACACTATAGACAGTGTCAACAAGCGACAGGCCACTCGTGTCTTCAAGAAATCCAGCCTCAATGGCAAGATCACAGTCTATCTCGGCAAGAGAGACTTCGTCGATCACATCACGCACGTCGATCCTATCGGCAAGTATCCATCATAATTAATCCATGCACGCTCTGAAACAGAAAACGATTGCATAATGTATTTTTCCTAAAATAACGATTGCGTTGCTTAAGTCACGGCGTGACTTCATCTTTTCTTCGAACCACGCGATAAGAGAGAGGTTTTCGATTTTATTTATTCATAGACGGGGTCGTCCTGATCGATCCCGATTACATAAAGGAGCGAAAGGTGTTCGGTCATGTTCTCGCGGCGTTCAAGTACGGGAGGGAGGATCTCGATGTCCTCGGATTGACCTTTCGCAAGGACCTCTATCTAGCGGCGGAGCAGATCTATCCGGTGGTTCAGGAATCCCAGACCTCCAGGGAGCTGACGCGACTGCAGGAGAGGCTGATGAAGAAGTTGGGTAGCAATGCATTTCCCTTTTACTTCGAGTTGCCGCCCCACTGTCCAGCCTCGGTTACCCTACAACCGGCCCCAGGTGACACCGGCAAACCCTGTGGCGTCGACTACGAGCTTAAGGCATTTGTAGGTGAGACGCAAGATGACAAACCGCATAAAAGGTACGAATCTCAATTTAATGTTGGAAAAACCCCTGTTGAACCCAAAACAATGTCAATGAACTTAAAGCAACTCTTAAATGTTCAAAACAATATGTTGAAACTTTTCTCCACCCAAAACAAAATACAAAGAGCCCTTCTTCTGAAATATAATGGAAAAGGGACGAATCCCAATTTAATGTTGGAAAAATCCCTGTTGAACCCAAAACAATGTCAATGAACTTAAAGCAACTCTTAAATGTTCAAAACAATATGTTGAAACTTTTCTCCACCCAAAACAAAATACAAAGAGCCCTTCTTCTGAAATATAATGGAAAAGGGACGAATTCCAATTTAATGTTGGAACACCTCTTGTTGAACTCTTCTGTCAATAAACCCAAAGCAACTTTTAAATGTTCAAAACAATTATATGTTGGAACTTTTCTCTACCCAACACAAAATATAAAGAGTTCTTGTATTCGAAAATCTTCTGAAATATAATGAAAAAGGAAAGGTACAAATCCCAATTTAATGTTGGAGAAAGCTCTGTTGAACCCAATACAAAGTCAATAAACTTAAAGCAACTTTTAAATGTTTAAAACAATATGTTGGAACTTTTTTCCATCTAAAACAAAATACAAAGAGCCTTTGTATTCGAAAATCTTTTGAAATGTGATGGAAAAGGAAGTATACGAATCCCAATTTAATGTTGGAACACCTCCTGTTGAACTCTTCTGTCAATGAACCCAAAGCAACTTTTAAATGTTTAAAACAATTATATGTTGGAACTTGTCTCCACCCCAAACAAAATACAAAGGGCTTTTGTATTAGAAAACCCTCTGAAATATAACGAGAAAAAATGTTCAGTATCCAGCAACTGCTAGAAAAAATTGTTGAAGTGCAATGTATTAAATCACACAATTGGTACCTATCCAGGAAAAATTATCCATTAGCAGAAATGTTTCTTCTTGATCCAATCTCTTTTTTATAACATAGAAAACACTTGTGTCCATAATAATTTAATTATTAAAGCGTCAATTAATTAATTCAGTTATTACTTTTATCGATCAACTGACTCAACTTATTCGACAGGAGCTGCGTTAGGCTGGCGATCAGGAAGATCATGTACGCGCCATCGAAACAGGGCGAACAGCCCTCGGTCGAAGTCAGCAAGGAGTTTATGATGTCACCGAACAAACTGCATCTGGAAGCCTCCCTCGACAAGGAACTCTATCATCACGGCGAGAACATAGCTGTGAACGTGCACATAGCGAACAATAGCAACCGGACTGTGAAAAAGATAAAAGTGTCGGTTAGGCAGTTCGCAGATATCTGCCTGTTTTCCACGGCTCAATATAAGTGCACCGTCGCCGAGGCCGAGAGCGAGTGAGTATTCTCCAGCCGATCATCTTTTATGTTCCCTTACTTATAGGAACGACGATATCGCACTTTGGCGAGAGAAAAGCGGTTTCGGTTTAGTAAAACCCAACGTGAGTTAAATTGTCACGATTTTCGAGACATAAATCTTCAATTAATTTCTCCACATATCTAATTAATTTCTAATTAATCTCTTAATTTCCAAAAACTCTTAAGAAATTAAATTCATGTTTCTGTCAATGCATAATTGTATGCGTTGTCTTTTTATCAATTAGAAGAAAAACTCCAATATATTTTTAACATGTGGATACCTGATTATTGACAGAAAAATTAAACCTTCAAGGCAATTGTTTTACTTTCGGAAATCGCTTTTTAATTACGATAAAAATACGATCGAAATTTGTTTAATTGAGCAAACAATTCATTTTTTACACAATTATACATATAATAATCTAGGCGATTCATATTTAATGTTGATTACGATTCTCAAAAAAACATCGGCGACGCTAATAGATCTCGCGGACAATCGGCTCGGGCTGCGATAAAGTTTCTTTTAGCGAAAAAAAAACTTGCGCGAAAAAAAGAAGCAGGACTGTGACGAGCAGGAAAATAAGATTATTGCACTGGCAGTATAGGGGTAGCGCCAGGATTCACTCTGAGCAAGGTGTTTTCTCTAAGGCCGACGCTTGCCGAGAACAAAGACAAGCGGGGCCTAGCTCTAGACGGTCAGCTTAAACACGAGGACACCAACCTCGCGTCTAGCACAATGTGAGTGCGAGATTAAGAGCTCGCTGCTTCCCTCATTACTCTCTCATCTTTTTTTTCTGGCCCGGGGAATTAAGGGGGAAAAGAAAATAAAGATAACGGGGAGGCTGGAAAGCGGCCAAATGTGCAGAGTCGCGTAGTTTTTCTCTCTCTCTTCCACTTTAACGCGGCCATTATCGCGACGATATCTCGTGACAAACGTACGGACTTTATGTGAATTCGTCGTACTCGAGTGCCATCAAGATGAGACGTGTCGACGACGTGATCTATCAAATTTTTTGGAGCAGCTCTATACATTTACCAGAAGAGATAGAAACTCGTAAAAGACATTCGAGGACGATTGTGTGAGAAAAATTGAAATTAAAGATTAAATTAATTCTTTTGATAAGTCTCATAGGAAACGTTATTTTATGAATTAATAAAGTACAAAAGCATACAGAAATGCTATAATTAAAATTTCCTTACAGATCTCTCGAATTTATTTTCAATAAAACATTCAAAAGGACAAATAAAATTAGAAACACAAAGACAGAAAGAGCATTAAATTTAATAGTCTTCTTTTCATTCGAAAAGTTTAACATTTCTTTTACATCTTCCTGCTTTTAGCAATAAAATATTATGGGATCATCATAAAAAGTAAAGTCACAAGAGACAAGACTCTATTTTCAGCCTCCCTCTCTTGCTATCTTTTTTTTTTCTTATTAATGCAAAACAATTGAAAATGGAATGGCAGTATCTTCTTAGTGACTTTGTGCTGGGGATTTTTAACGTGGTGGCCTGTAATCACGTATGGATCTCGATCGGTGGTGGTCTCATTTCCTTTGCAAAGCTCCCTCTTCTCACACACGCACTCTCTTTCTCTTTCTCTATCTTTCCGCTTCCCTCTTTCCCTCTTTCTTTTATTTTTTAAAATAATATTAAATATGTATTTTTAAATTTTTTAATTAATTTTTCTAATGTTTTTTTTTATATTTTATTTTATATCAACAAAGTATTTTCTTGATATATATTTTTATCATTTCTTAAGATAAACTTTTCTTCTATTAATATACATGTAAGTGTTTCACACTCCATATACATATATATATATATATATCTCCCTTATAGGCACTGAAGTACAAGATTGTCAAGTCCTTGCCTTATTCTCGTCTCTCGTAATCGTAATCTGTATCGCAGTGTAATGCACAAACTGACATATTGTACTATCGTGACGTACAAATACATATATTACGGACCGTTTCATTTTAATTAACCATGAATTTCCGCTCAAAATCGAAATTCCGTGAATTTTTCTCGGCTCAGGCAGGAAATCATAAAATTATGATCGTTTAAACATTATTTTATACATCTCGATTAATATATTAGACAATTTCTATAAATTTTCTTACAGAGATGTAAACATATTTATATATTGCAAGGTTTATTACGCACGACCCAACTGTCAAAACTTTTGACAGTTGGATCGTTCATAATAAACCTTGCAATTTTATTTCACTGTCGAAATTATTCTAATATTTATATATCATTAATAATAAATGTAAGTTACAATGGTGAATATATTAATAGGAAATTAAATTAGAGCGAAATATTTTGTCGACGATGTTTACACGACAGTGGTGATAATTTCGCGATTTCGGTCCGCACGTGACGCGCACTGACACTTATGCTGATTGTGTGTTCAAATGTCAGGGAGGGATGCCCAGTGGGCCCGGGTTTCACGCTCAGCAAGGTGTTCACCTTGACACCCCTCCTGGCCAACAACAAAGATAAATGGGGGCTCGCCCTCGACGGTCAGCTCAAACACGAGGACACCAATTTGGCGTCTAGCACCCTGTAAGGATGCGATGCCTGGAAATAAGCCTACAGATACATACACGCAGACACGCTTAGATGATAACGATTTTATTATTACGCCGCACCGTGTTATTAATCACACATTTAGCGCTCGAGAAAGATATTTATTAATGGGAGTTTAATTTTTTAAAGGGGGCTTAAAAAGATTTGAATTTTTTTTTATAATTGTGATTAATTTTTGGTATAAAAAATGTACATGTAAAATGGTAGTATATAATTATGAAAATAGTTTTACTTTTTTATGTAGAAAAATATAATGTCTCTTATTAAATATTTCGAAAAATTAATATAAATTATTATATAGCATTTATATATTATATAAAATACAATATATATTTAATAATTTTTAATTCATAATTAAATTTCTTAAAAGTTGGAGCAATAAATTATTGAAATCCTTTAGATTTATAAAAAAATTATTAAAAATTGTAAAATAAATAGTACGAAGATGAATATGACTCGTTTTAATGCTAAATGTGTGGAAGAAGAATACGGGCGGTGTCTGTTACGTATAACACATACATTTATACTTACACGTGTCTTACGCACGCAACGCGCAGCTGAACACGCCTTTGGGAATTTTTCTCAATGCTTTTTCCACTTTTTCCATACACGATGGCCGGGAGATACATGTTGGCTGCCTGTGCAACACAACGCTTTTTCTCAACGATTACTTCTACGATTTCTCTTTGATTTCTCGATCGATTCACCAAACGCGACGGCAAGCAACCGGCATTGTCGGGCATCGACGTGTCATTCTGTTTTTTTGCGAAATTCATATCACTCAGCTTTACTGGAAAAAAAAATTATGCGCACACGTCCCGAATTCCTTAAATTCATGGATCCATGGATCTCGATATTTTAGATTAAAATTTAGGCATCTGAGAATTTTTTAGAGAAAATATCAGAATTAATAAATTAATATCCATAGATCTTAAGATCCAAATGGCTTTTCAATTTTTCAGGACTTTGCATTGGCAAAGTTTTAAGCTTAAACTCAACTTGCAATTTTATTAAATTTTTTATGTCCAATTTTAATTGTTGAGTTTAATTGAATTTAGTGATATATATACACAAAATTAATTTATATAAAATTTAATACATTTCATTTTTTATAAATTAAAATTTAATCATTTATTAAATTTAACTAAACTCCATTATTAAAGTCGGACATAAAAATTTCGCAAATCAGCAAAAAAGTTAAATTTTTCTTTATTGTTTTTTTCTTTTTAAGAAAAATATTTTTCAAACATAAAAATTCTTTCCAAATTTCTTGAGAGAGGCGTTTATTTCTAGCGGTATTAAAAAGATTAAAAAGCCAGGATCTAAAAGATTTAGGATACTTAGGGCATTTAAACCAAAATCCCACCTTCCCTCTGCTTGTGCTTGTTGTTGAAAAACATGGTATCGCCACCGCATTGTGCCTGTGTAAATTTGCATGAAAAATATTAGAAATTGTTATTTGCAAAGCTTATAGATTTATTAATAGCTTGACTAAAAATATAATTACCATTTTACATAAATGTTGTATACGTATATATATATATATATATATATATATATATATATATATATATATATAATATTATATTATATGTATATATTGCATTATTATATATTATATATTATATTATATATATATTAATAGCTGCTTGCTTGTTTAATTAATAAATCCGATTCACAATTTTCCTTTCTTTTCGTCTCCGCACGAATAAGCTATAACACAGTTAATCACGCATGAGCTTTTATGTGGTATTAATTAATGTTAATGGATGATAATGACGTAATGACGATAAATTTAATTCGCAGTGTGGTTGATCCGTCGCAACGCGAGAATCTTGGAATAATCGTTCAGTACAAAGTTAAAGTCAAACTTTGCCTCGGTGCTCTTGGAGGGTAAGTCTCATTTAAATGTCTCGAGAACTAACAATAAGATTTACATTGAATCTAAGTTGAATAATTTGTCAGATCTTCAAGTATTTCTTTGATATTATGAGTTGAAAATCCAAGATGTGTCTCTAAAGTGTCTCTTTTTGTAACTTAAAATATTTTAATAGATCGATAAGATTATTTTAGAAAATTTTTGTAGGTTTAAGAACTGTTACATCACAGATTTAATATAGGGAATTTTATAATAAATGTTAAAATATTTGTTTTCCCATTTTCTGATTAATAGCGAGTTGGTCGCGGAACTGCCCTTTATTTTGATGCATCCCAAACCGGAAGAGGAAGAACCAGTGCCGTCCACAGCTCGACCAAGCCCTACGCACAAAACTGACAGCGGTGAAGTCCCGCTCGACACAAATCTGATCCAACTGGATACGTAAGTAATCTAAAAAAATTTATATTTGATCATTATTTTTTAATAAGATTTCCAAATTTTTAAATAAAATAACAAATTTAATAAAATTATCAAATCATATTTTTAAATTAAATTTCTTAAAATTCCATAAATATAATCATAATGAAAAGTATTGTGTCTCTTTAAGGTGATCCTATACGTCTTTGAGAAGTCTGTTGTTTTTCCTTTTTTTAGCAAAATATGAGGTTAAATAAATTATAAATCTACTTATATTGGCTATACGGATTGTCTTTTACCTGAAATTAGAATGCTTCCTCCTTTGTTAATATTAATACTTTAATTTATACAGGAAAAAGATTTATCAATCTGTATAGTCTCATATATCTTGGTTACAGAATTATGAATTCTTAAGAACCAAGATATATGAGACTATACAGATTGATAAATCTTTTTCCTGTTCAAATTAAAGTATTAAAGGCCTGCACGCACACTTCTGTAACCGTAAACATAACCCTAATATAAGGAATCGATCAATCACGTTGCTCAATTCGGCTGCCCGTAACCGTAAGAATCGATCAACGCGATTGGTCAAATTCTTACGATTATGGAAATTCTTGTGCTACAGTATTAACAAAGGAGAAAACGTTCTAATTTCAGATAAAAAGCGTATAGCCAATAAATAGATTTATAGTTTATCTAACCTCATATTTTGTCGATATAAAAGGAAAACCCAACAGATTTCTCAAGGACGTTTAAAATCCCCGTAAAATATATTTATATACTTAAGAGGATACTGATCATGACTGTTTTACCGACTTTTAGTTCAAGGGCTTTTCTTTTTGTATAAAATATAATTTTGTATAAAAAGACGTTTCGATCATCGGTTTAGGTCTTTTTCGAGTACAAGTTCAACATTATATTGCATTAGAACTTGTACTTGAAAAGTACCTAATCTAAACCGATGGTCAAAACGTTGTTAACAATAAACAATTTATAACTAGTATTGGTCGAAATTATATAAAAGTACCTTGACATATTTATAAGTTCGGGTCTTATCAAGCAATATTTAATTAATTATTATCGCTACATTGATTAAGACAGAAAACTTTTTAACTCAATCTCTTTTACTTTTTAATTTTGTAAATCATATTTCCAGTTATATCATCGCTTGTTATATCTCCTATAATAAGAAAATAAATTTAATTGAAATTCTCGAAATCCCCCGAGAGAATATTCGCGAGAGACGCTTTGTTTTTCCAAGGCAATTAATTTTGTTCAATCTTCGTCCGCAGGGAGGCGGACGGCGACGACGATATAATCTTCGAAGACTTTGCTCGGTTGAGGCTGAAAGGCGAGACGGAAGCTTGACCGTGCTCCGCCGACTCCTCTTCGATACGTATCGATGCGCTCGATCGCACGTGTACGTTGACACCGCCGTGTCGCGCGCAAGATGGAAGCTGCACAATGTCGCCAATAATGCCAATAACGGCGGTGCCGCAACGGCAGACTTGAGCGTTTCGCATCGTTCGGATTTGTTATTGCGGCGACGCCTGCCTATATATCCTCAAGTACAAAATGTCCCCCGGTGACGCGACGAGCCCCGGCGTGTTTTGCGGCGGACATTTTAGCATTTTTCGCGAAAGAGAGAAAAAAAAATACAGAAACTCTGCTTCGAAAGGGAAAAATTTGCGTCGGAAGAAATATAAAGGATATATATATATCTATGTTACGAGAGAGGTGAATTTTTCAAGCAAGCTGCTCGCTTTTTTTTCACGGGCATTTTTCAAGACAGGCGGAACGAATACATATATACGAATATACCGGAAATGGCGTCGAGAAAATTCTTCTTTAACAATATATCATTTTCATGTAATCATTGAAAGCGCGGAAAAATGAATAAATTTTTCTGACGTTTTTAAGATACATCATTATTATCATTCATCATTTATTAAAACAATTGAGCAACAATTTATTAAGTCGTTATTTATGAAGTTGTGGATGGCGGTTTTGATTTGTGGGAAAAGTACGCGGCGGTTTTTGCGCGATTAATATTTATCACAAGAACAAGAAAAAGAGAGAGAAAAGAGAGAGAGAGAGAGTTCAATGCCGTCGCTATTTTTACGCTTTGTCTCTGAAGACTGATTTTAGGAAGAACATCCAAAAATCTAGCTAACGAGATGTATTCGTTGTAAAACTTTTAACAATTGAAAGAAAGCAGCTGCGAAATAACATACGTAATTTATGTATAAAATAAGATTCGGTATTTTTCTCCAAAAACAAAAAAAAAAAAAAAAAAATGCAATTCACAATTAAAATTTGCAATTAATTCTTAATTACAGTTAATTTATTAAACACACATTTATTCGCATTTTATAAATACGATTCAATTAGACACTTCGTTCAATTAATTAGCAATAAATCGTCAGTTAATTAAATGTGAAATCGATACGAATTCGAGAAACGCGTGCGAGAGCTTTTGAAGTTTTACATAGTAAGTGTGATTTTCTTAAACACGGCCAGTATATACCGTCTTTAAGTTACAATGCGAGAGAATATGAAACTCTGTCAGTTTCGAATCATCGATTTTATTAAAATAACAGAACTTAATAACCGTATAAGCGCGCTCCTCGAATTAGTTTCATTAATAAATTATACAGTTTGATATACAATACATATAAAGCCCATAAAACCGCAAAAAGTGAGAAGAAAGTTATTTTATATTTTTATGAAAAAAAAAAAAATCTACGATACACACAAGTTTGATTCTCACGATTCTCACACAACGAGGATGAAAAATTTATTAATCCCGCAAATCTGTAAGAAATTGAGGTGCTCTAATAAGAGGAGCCTACAAAGAGAAGTGTTTAACCCTTCTGTCAATGAACAGGTATCCAAAATTATTCAAAATTCAAAGTTTTGAAATTTTGCAATTTTTAAATTTTGAAAATCGCGGTTTTTATTCGAAAAAATATACAGCCGACACCTGGATACTCGTGCATTAATAGAAAGGTGAAAATAAATTAATTGACAGGGAGAAGGGTTAATATAATAATATAATTTAATCAGGCAAAGTGCGTGAAAGAGAGAGGAAAAGACGTTTTGAAATGTCAGATGTCAATTCATAGATGTATTTATGAATAATTTGTAGGACTTATAACACTGTAAGATTTATAACACTAAAATCCGTTGCACGTTCCCCCTCCTCCCCTTTTTCCTTCCCCCTCTTCCACTTCTATAATAATCGTTCCCCGATTAAGTTAAAACGAGCACCGTCGTTCACAATTGTAAGTATCGATTTTGATTGGTAAAAAAAAAAAAAAAAAAAAAAAATTTGCGTAATCACGACGGAGTCGCCCGTTTATTGATAATAGAAACTCATTTAGCAGAATTCCACATCGATTGCCTAATTAAATTTCGAACACGAAATACTTTTGCTATACGAAAATTGTCTCAATTTGAAAGTAATGTAATTTATGCATATATAGTATGCCTTGTAATAATTAATTATTACCAGACATCCTATATAAGTAATTCTTTATGTAAAAATTTTAAAAATAATTTTTCCCAAATTTTTAAGAAATATAATTCTTTTTGAGTAACTTATATTTTTTCCTCTTTATCACAATTTAAATAATTTAAAATAGACGACAGAATAAATAATGATGGAAATTGTATGAAAAACGATTTGTGCTGTCAACTATTAATTTTAAGTTCTAAAGAAATTAAGTCAACGATGAACGAAATTCAACGTTGGTAGAACGAAGATTAATTAACGGTGACATTAATTAGAAGCAAGTTGTAAAATCATGAAGAAACAAAACATTGTACATGTATATGTATGTATATACACGGGAAGAGCGAGAGAGAAAAATAGTATTTTTATCACTTTAGCATTTACTGAAACTATGTATTTAGATGAGATAACCGAGCGTCTCTTCGTCGCGCGTTTAAGATTAAACGCATGACGAAAAATGCAGCAGCCGTATTTCCTCATACCAAAGCCGAATATTTTCGTTTTTATTTTCTTTCTGCAAAAAGCCGATCGAGAGAATATAAATAAATTACCATTCAAATTTTTCAATTATAAAAATACAGCTTTTATATAAAATTTATTTATTACTTGTGCAGCAAATGATTGATTTTTATATAAATGTAAAAGTTCAATTTACATGTGCAGAAGAGAATTATTAAAATACATAAAAAAATAATTTTACCATTTAAATTCACTCTTTGTACTGTAACAATAAATAATATATATTAACATATTATTTAAATCGATATATCTTTATTGACTAGAATTAAATTAAATTATTAACATTATCCTATCCGTTTACATTTAATTATTATTTTATTAAATATCCTATTATGTTGGATTTTCTCGGAAAGAGAAAAATTCCCTGTTCACATATTCTTTTACCTCGTTTTTCGCGAATAAAAAAAACAGGAACGTGCATGTTCAACGAAAGCTAGTTAATTAAGTGGACGAACCTTTGCGATTGTGCGGCAAAATGTCGAACGTCGACACTTCAATTATATCGCTTTAAGCGACGTGTATGAATGTATATGTATATGTGCAAGCTTATGTATAATGAGAGTATATTTTATATTCGCCCGCGGACGCGCGCATATTTTTTATATGATCGCAAATGGTAGGTCGTTAACATTTTTATTGTCATCCAGTTAAAAAGGGAGAGAGTCACAGAATTATAAAGAAGAATTTTACCGCACAAAAATAAAGAAAAACCGAGAGGGAGAGAGAAAAACGAAGAGACATAATTAAAGTCAATATAAAGGATTCCGGTCTCTATAAGTCTAATATTCGAGACTGTTTCCTTGCGATACGAACAGAGACCTCGTGATATACAGGGTGTCGCAAAAGGACGCGAATTTTGCTCGTAATAGATTTTGCGATTTGATCGTAATAGATTTAAATATGCAGGGTGTAACTAAAATAAAGTACGCGAAGCACACCATCAAGTGCAGGACAACAAACTAAATCGAAAAGTCCTGAGCCATTTTTAATCTGAGCTTTATTTTTGACGCTACAAATTGTTGAAGTTTGCCAATCAGCGCGCGGAAAACAGCGTAGGCACCGCCTTAGTAGGCGTGGTCTAAGGCGTAGTCACCGCTATTGGCAAACTTTAACAATTTATAACGTCAAAAATAAAGCTCGTATTAAAAAATGGGTCAGGACTTTTCGATTTAATTTGTTGTCCTGCACCTGATAGTGTGCTTCGTGTACTTTTTAAATTACACCCTGTATATCATTTTCAATTTCAAAATTATCGAATTAAATCGTGTATTTGAATTTTTTCCTATTTTTATATTAAAATTAAATCTGATTAAAGCTGCTATTTGAATCTTCTTTCCAGTCTGTATAAAAAATCGAATTATTTTGCTCTATTTATACATGTAGAAATTATCACTGATACTAAATACGCCAATATTTTATCAACGAAAAATGGTTCAAGGATAGAATGCTAATACGACATTTTTTTTGTGGGACACCCTGTATTTAACGAATCACAGTATATCACTGCGATAAGAGAGGTAAACGATTACGCTTCTTCGATACAACATATTTTGCACCGGAAAGTTCACATTTCCTCTCGTTTGTATCTCATTTAACTGTAAAATCTTTGTAGCTCTGTGAAAATAGATAGCCATTGTGTGATTAAACATAAAGTAAAAAAAAAACAGCGAAAAACGTATACGTGCTCTTATCAGAATGGCTGCATTTATTCGACACAGAATGGAAATAGTTAATTAATTAATTACATACCGCGCATATATAATGACAAATGGAGATAAAATATGGAGACAAAAAGAGAAAGAATAAAAAGGAAAAATGAAAGAGAGAAGAGAAGAGGAGAAATTAATGCGCGCTTGTTTTTCGAGAGTGTATCTATAATTAATGTAATCGAGTCGATGTACAAGTGTGTTATGGTTCACCTTACAGCTAAGTAATTTACAAATGTAAATCGCAAAAAAAGAGACGACAGGGCCATTATATTGCTATAACTTGTACATTGCACTATATAGGAACGATTTATTTATTATTGGAGCCGCGCGTTGTTAGTTAGTTAACAAAATCGTGTGTCGTTCATGATCGTTCGCTGTTCACTCGTGAATAATTCGTTTTGTATGTAAAAGAGATTACAAGAAAATATTAATAAGAGAACAAATGAGAGCGAGAGAATGCGAGAGAGTGCGTGCGTGTAAAGTAAAGGAGGAGAGTAAATAATGCATAATATATTGTATATGTAAAAAAAAATCGTGTGTATTCTCGTATTATAACTAGCTGTAATAATTTAATAAATCCTGTATATCGAAAAAAAATCACAAAGACACGATCTGCGTATATTTCCGCGTTTTTTTAAATATTTATTACACCAAACTTTGCAAATTTTTTACAGCTTGTTAACTTCTTTATATTCTTCCTTTTTATCCAAAGAAATTTTTTTAAATATGTAATAATAAGAATAACATGATAAGAAATATAATATTTATGTAACATTTTAACATAGAATGTATAATAAAATATATCATCAAATCTAGTTCTTTATTATTAATATCATTAAATATTACATTTTACGCACACAATATATTTAATGAGATAATATAATATTAAAACACTTTGCAGACTTTTCCAGAATAAATTTTAATATAACTGCGATACATTTCACGAACAGCTATTTGAACTTTTAAAAGTTGCAAAAGTTCCTTAATGAAAGAGGTAACGTGCAATTAACGCAATTGATTGATCTAACGAGAAAATTCTATCTTGACGAGATTAAATGTATATCTTTCTGATTAAAAAAACGCAATCATTTTTAATAAATCATGTTAAGGTACCTTAGAATGACGCAAAAATTGACAATTCTGTAAATTATATAAATTAATGTCTTAATATATTTTTATTTTTTTCTATATAATATATTATTTAATATCTTACATAATATAATTATATATTATCATATTATATTTTTATATATATATTCTGTATAATATTTTCCATATAATATAGTCTATATTTTTTTCTATTATAATAAATTGAAAAATGCTTTGATATGTAAATATAAATGCAACATAGATACAGGCTAATAAGATCCAAGCGCAAAAATTAGACGCAACAATCTCATTATAAAATACTTTCTATTTAAAATGTTATTTAATTTAATTAACATTTTAATTTAAATTGCAATTTAAATAGAGAAGTATTTTATACCAAGAAAATGTTGTACTTAATTTCTAAACTTATCTTTTATTAGACAATACTCATCTTGAATTTTTATTTGTATACCAGAGCTTTTTTAATTATAATTAAAAAATACAAAAAAAATGTAAAAGTAAGATATATTGCAATGCTAATTTATATAATCTTCTTATATTTCTATATATATTTATCTTTGTACTTTTTTATTAGAATTCTAAATGTGACATTAATAAATTGCTCATAAAATATTATAAAAATTAATATATAAAAGTAATGTATAAAAATAGTAAAAATAAATAAATAAATATACGGCATTTAATATTTATAAGAATTAAATGAAAATTTTATAGTAAATTGTAATTCAGTGAAAATATTTTGTCAACAATAATAAATTATTATAGCCTCGATAATTTCTGAGAAAAAATCAAGCTGTTCTTAGCAAATGATAAGTACGATAATTCTGGGACACCCTTTACATGCAGATAGTAATATCGTGATTAATAAATAATCCTAAAGCAATGTTAACAACTACCTCTCTCTCTCTCTCTCAATTTTAAGTTCAAAACTAATTCAAACATGAGTATGGCAAAGCTATTCAAATATCTTCCGCAGTTTTCGAAGTAATTTGCAAACCGCGTAGAAAGAGAGAAGGTTGAAAGGGCAAGAAGTGAACTAAAGGTGAATTCGCTATTTTGTTCACGTATAAGAAACTTTATTCAGATCCAGAGTCGTGTTGCGATTTCTCACCATAAATCGCGCGCCAGGGAAACAGAAAAAAAAAATAAAGTAGGAGAAGAAACCGAAAGGAAACGCACCGAAAAATCTAACAACTTCCAAGGCTCGAAACGAGAGGAAGCAATCGGTTGTCGAGAAGAGATAAGGAAAAGTTTGCGATAATGAAGAAAATTCGGTGGTGGAGGAGCGAAGGGATGGAAAGAAAAGCGGAAACGAGAGGTGGTGGAGGCAGGAAGCGAAATATCGGATGGCGCGCGAATTTTAACGCGCGTCGCTCGCCTCGCGCTCATCTCTCTCTCATCACGCAGCCTCCGCGGCTTCCCTGTTCAGTGTGATCCGCGCGGTCCGAGCGCGAGTACGCGTGTGCATATTCCGGCCTGTTGTTTCGTCGCCGCATCGCGAGACTATTTTGTGAAAAAATTTGAAAAAATTATAAAATCAATGCTGACACATTTGTGAAAAAAAAAAAAAATTCCAATTCAACAGATTTTTTTTTTTTTGAATATAGAAAAAAATAAGCGATTGTGTCTCATTAAAATATGTAACATACTCTATCTCTTTTTCTCTTTCTTTTTTCACTTTGAGAACATTTAATTTTTTTCCCATGTAGTTATCTTTGAGGAGAGTGAAATAAGTCGTTTCCTGTTCTAAACGTAATTTTAATTTTTAATTAATGTTTGTACTCTGTCGATTTGTTCAAACATGCGTAAATTGGAAATTTGTGGAACGTTTATGTTGAACTATTTGCATTAGTTGCTTATTTTATTGCTTCTCGAATATACATATATAATGGCGAGTCTATCAAAAGTTTCGCTGGGCAAACTAAAGTTGAATTAATTTTGAGGATTTTTAACAGAATAATCGAGCGCTGCGTATAAAAACGTTGTTCCATTGGCTTTTAACAAATTATTATTTAATTTCAATAGTAATTTTCTATCGACATTATTTGCATAACAAATATTTAAAATTATTGAACATGTGTATATGTTAAAAATAAATGGAGTCGTTACATTATAAATATATTCAAATTATTATTATTATTAACTTTGTGTGTAAATAAAGTAAATTAACATTCAAACTTAAATTATATATATTTTTGAATGGGAAGATAAATAATCAAATATAACTTAAACTTGTAATTTATATTGTAATTGTAAACTTAAAAATAACACCAACTAATTTTATTATTTATTTCAATTACAAATAAACAATAAATTCAAATAATAAATATAATTAAAAAATCACAATTATTCTAGATAAGTAATAAATGTAATTATAATTATAATTAATTTAAAAAATTATAAATAATTAAGTTTTATTATTAATTTATCTTATTGTTAGTTATAATTTTTGCAGACATTTATTTGTTGACTGCGCAAATAAAAAAATTTCAATTTTAAACACATGTTCTGATTTTGTGTACATTTCGTTGTCGATTCATATCGGGTTTCACATTTGGTTTCCCAAACTTTTCGACCCTTTGTGCATGAAAAAGGAATCATGCTGCTTTGCTATTTAAATGTCGGGGCGAAACACTCGAGTTTTAATAAACTCGATTGGCCCGCGATCCATTCCGGACCTTGGATATCAAAGATTCATAAAATACCGTGAGATTCTATGGCATAAATTCGTGGTATGCTACGTGGTCGCCAATTGAAGGTGACACGCGACCCTCGGAAATTCAAATCGGCAAGTATTTCTTGGCAAGTTACTCCTAATTTCATGTATAAACTAAATTACACGGATAATTAAACTCTATCTCTCAATTAGAAAAATTGTATTAAAAAATCTCGATTATCATGTATTTTTAAATAATATTAAATTAATTATAAGAGTCTTAAAATTGTATGAGAAAAAAAACTCGATCGTTATATATTTTTAAATAACATATTTCGCAAAAAAAAATAAATAAATAAAAAATGTTAATTATAAAATTATCAGAAAAAAATTGCGATCGAAAAGATACGATTTCTAGCATATACAAAGTATTCTTGAAATAGATCAGCCTCTCTTCCTGGTTAACTATAGCATTATTTATCCTCATATATCACTCGATGAGGTTTTCCCACTCAGTCAGTACTTTTTGGAAATTCTATTCGAACTTTCTTAAAGAATCTTTAGTTGACTTGGTACAATTGTGCAGAGTCGTCAACAAACTTGTAACATCTAATAAATTATAACTCGCCAAAATCTCGAGAAGGGTAACAGAAGGCGGGAGAGAAAGGGAATGGCGATTCGTCAACAAACGAATAAACATTTACTTTTGCTCTTTTGCCATCTGCCAGAACGCTGTGTTTCGAAAAAATCGAACGGGGAAAAAAAGACTATATCTCGATACGAAGATATGATATGAAGCGCGAGTGAAAATTTCGCGAAGAAAGTGATATGTGTCGCGAGGGTTGTCGGGGATCGCCGGAAAATGAACAAACCACAGCGACGGCGAAACGAGAGCATCGATGGCGTCGAAACGCGAGCGACAGAAATTGGAAAAGTAAGTATACGATCGTATAAAATCGACCAAAAGCTATTTCCTTTCGAGATCGCTTTACAGATTTTATTCGTCGCGAAGCTGATTTATCTCTCTCCCATTGCGCAATTTTATCAGATTTAAAGGAAGAAAATATCAAAATAATATATCCCAATTTCTTTTATTATACTTCAATTTTAATATTTATAGTTACAGAAATTTTTATATATAAATAAATAATTTTTTATAAAATATATTTTATTTTACAATAATACATACACAATTATATCTAATATATTAATATATTAAATTATATGTATAAAATATAATATTTAATACAATTTAATATTTTATTGTATATAATATAGAATATATAATATATATTACATATATTATATATTTTATAATATATAATACATAATATATAATATGTATATAATATATAATATATAAAATATATAATATAATATAATATATAATAATGAATATTTTTCATACTTTACTCTATATGTATTATACATATTTTTAATTATTATTTTTGTCATTCAAATTTTCCCTAAAATCTCTACTAGATTTAAAAAATAAAAATTAAAAATTCGGATACTATAAAAATTTATTAAAAATATGAAAGCAACTGAAATATACTAAGAGCGTATCATTTAGTTCAGCGAAGAAAAAAGTTCTTGCTGTTGAAGCGCAATTTTTAAGTGCTGTCGCTTATGTAGATGCAATTTGATTAGTCGTGACTATATACGTTCTCATTATAGTCGCGATCCCTCTATCGATCTTGTTGCAATATTAATACGCCTTTGTATAAGTCAAAAAGCCAACATTTTATTATACAAATCGCGCGCGATATCCGAGACCTGTTGCTCTTTAATATCGTGCTATTTTTTAAATAACAGACATTTTGACCTATCTTTGACTAATTCATTGACATGGCTTCTTATATGAATATATTTCTATTTTTCTTATTTTTCATGTTATTTTATATTTTATATCTTGATTATTTTATATTTTGTATTTAAAAATTTTAAGTTATTTTATAATTTAACTGTGTAATTTATTTTGTATTATTTTGTTTTATCAAATGCATATCACGCGCATATTTATTATTTAGCAAAAACATTTAAAACAATTTTTTAATGTATCAAACTGAAAATTATACATATCGCAAGAACGCAATGCGAATAATACTAAAATTTCCGATTTTTCTCGTCTGTCGAAAGCAGACATAATTGGATTACCATCGACTCTTTTCGTTCTCTTTTTCTCTCCTTCCCTTTCGGAAAAATTAGCGTGAAACATTCAATAATTGCGATTAATTCACGTCATTCTGTCGAAGAGATCGATAAGCGCCGCGTAAAGGGATGAACTTTATTTATCTGGAAATTCTGACATTGGGGGTGACATAAAGTATTTATAATATTCAAAAAATTCGATAAAAAAATAATATCAATGTGACAGAATAAACTGATTGATACATTACTTAATACATAACACATTTAATATACGAATAAAATTCTTGTCTCGATCTGTCGATCAATTAATCGGTATTTAATTAGTTATTGAGACATCCACGTGTGTGTCTTGCAGTTTAAAAGAAAGTTTTTTCAACAATGTGATTCGCTATTATTTGCCAGCCATTAGATCGACACGAGTGATTTTTGCAGCGAATTTTAATGGAATATTGTCAGAAGGACGGATAAATATTTGTCGCGTTAACTGAAATCGCAAACTTCAATTTTCGGCGAAATTTAAGAGAATTGGAGGGAGAACAAATATCTTCTCTTCGACAATGTAAAGATTATACTCGATAATGCTCGATTCCAATCGATCAGTATTTTGATAGAATTATAACAATGGGATAAGAATAAAAGAGGGAAAACACGGAATGCGCGATCGCAAAATGCGATTTTCATCTCGATCATGTTATATATATAGTATTAATATACATATAGTATAAATTTCACAAATAAAAAAATAATCGTCTAATCTCAGCGCGTTACTTTTAATTTTAATATTCAAGTTGGTTATACTTTAATATTCCAGAGTGCTGTTGGTTTTAACGCCTTAATAGACGACAAACTTTCCACAAGCTACTGAACGTGTTCAAAATAAGAGGGAAAATTTACATAAACGTCAATTTAGCTCACACTAATGTCAGATCCCGAGATATTTCTCGCCGCTCAAGAATATTAATGAATAAACAACACAATTAAAAGTAATTATATTGCTTTTAATTTTATATATATATATATATCATATTTTCTATAATTAATTTTTATATTATATTTTTTATTATATTTTTATATTATATTCTATTTTATTTATATTATATTTATATTATATTTATATTATATTATATTATATTATTTTTTATATTATATTTATATTTTATTTATATTATATTTATATTATATTATATTATATTATATTTATATTATATTTTTATATTATATTTTTACAAGAATAAAAATCTTTGAAAAAACTTTTTAGACGACCAAAGTGAGCAAAAAATGTTAATTTATTAAATCTTCCTCATAACGTTTCGACCTTTGGTTTAGGTCCTTATCAAATGAACACTGTAATAATAATTTCACAATTTAAATGATACAATAAACAATAATAAAAAGAAGATTTAATAAATTAACATTTTTGCCCAGTTTGGTTGTCTAAAAAGTTTTTTCAAAAATTTTTATTCTTGTGATTATATTTACTGGCGCTTTAGGAAATATTCTTCTTTTCTTATTATATTATATTTTTACATTATATTTAAAAAAATTTTTTTTTAATTATCGTCTGGTGACCTCGCAGTTTTATATCGTTATTATATTTTTATATAAATAACTATTAAATGTGCAGATATAAAAATTTTCAGAAATGAATAATATAATTTTCTATGAAAAAATATATTTCACTGTAAATACGTAGTTTAATTGTTCCTATTTTTTTTAATTAAAAAATTCTCCCTAAAATCTTGACTTAAGTTGAAAGTAAAGCTAAGAAGAATAATTCAGACGTTATATTATATGTACATATCGCCTTAATAGAAAAACGACAAGCTATTAATTAACGACGTACTTCGCAGAATAAACACAATTTCGCCGTCCTATCTCCCGATCATTTGCATTTTCTAATTAACAATTATTCCCCAGCTGACGAGTTGTGCGCTGTCATTGGCCTTTACAGGCGTCGGCTGTCATCGCGAAGCCGTGTCACTTTCCACGCGGGACCGCTAATAAATTACATCCGTACATCTCCCGCCCCCATCATCGGTCCCGATCTCTCACTCCCTCTCTGTCGAACGCATCGGTGCACCGGCACGTCCGTGTCGGTACGATGCACTTCAGCCGCGATGCACTTTCGCGGATCAAGCCACTTAGGGAGCCGCGCTCTCTTCGATTTCTCGCGGAACCAAAAAGCGCAGCCCGGATGGATGCAATTTTCAAATTAAATTCGAAGGCTTCGAGAAGGGCAGCCTTCGATGAAATATCTCCCGCTAGGCCATTTTCCATCGTTACGAAATAGCGATAATTAGAAGGATTGGACGGATTGTCTGTCTCAAAAGTTAATCCAAAATACAAAAAATATTAAAGTTGGGCAGTATACGAATCCTAATTGGTCCAAATTATTTTAAAAATCACGAAATCATACTTCAAAGTATTCTTTAATATAAATAGGTCTTAATTTTTTCCAAGAAAATGTATAAAAAAAAAAAAAAAAAAAATTTGCATATATTTCCCAAAGAAACATTTTTCATCTTAAAAGATTTGGAAATGATTGTACCCTAAATTTAACCTAAGAAAAATAAAATTACGAATAAAATATTTTCAACTGTTTTCGCAATTAATAAAATTCATTTTTATAGCATAGAGTGTAGTGAAATATTTTTATTAGTGATGGGAACAAACCATGAAAATAATCAATTAAAATACGATCTAAAATGTGACAACGCCGAAACAAATTTTCCAATTTTTATTATTTATGTTTAAATTTTAAATTTTAATTTCAACTCATTCACTTTATTAATAGTTCATTGGTCTCATCATTGAATGGACGGCTCGCTTTCGTCGATGATTGCACAAGCGGTTGTGTTCACGGTCATGATACCAGTTTCATTTTTCACAAGTGATTGTTAGCTTCGTTTGAGAGTAATAACTTCTATAACATTATGATGGACAAATACTCGTATTATTTAAACGATAAATCTGCTTTAGTAGTTTTGCGCTTAATTTCTTTTGCGGTATCATCACTTTTTAATTTGCGACAGCAGTCAGAAAAAAACAATGCAATTTAAAAATGCTGTTTTTAACTGCATTTTAATGATATATGATCTGCAAGTATGGGTTATGAGTGACACATTACATATTTTTTATAAAAAGAACCGAGTTGACATGGCTTTAGCGGATTTTTAATGTATTGTATGAGTCCTTTTTAGAGGTAAAATTGTTAATGAGTTTACAATGTATTAAAAAAGATCCAGTGAGGTCGAAACGTTTACTAATGAATGTTTTTAAATAAATTAATTATCTTATGTTACCTACCCATTTAATTGTCTCCTTTAGTTGACCTTTTATTATTTTTTTAGTTTTTGCTTGCATTACGGAGATTAATTTGATTTAAATTTCATTTTAATAACTTTTAAAGAAGTAAGTAAAAATTTGAAATAATTCATGATAATTAGGACGTCATTAAAAATGTTTAATTAAAAATTCACGGCGATCTCATTGATTGTAATATATCTTCAATACATCCTTAAGGGGATCCTAAGCTAACCTAAGTTTCCTTCCTGTTTTATCGGCAAAATGTGAGGTTAGATAAATTATAAATCCATTTATTGGTTATACGGATTGTTTTTTATCTGAAATTAGAACGCTTCGCCCTTTCTTAATATTAATACTTTAATTTGTATAGGAAGGAGATTTATCAATCTGTATAGTTTTATATATCTTGATTACAGATATATGAATGCTTAGAATTCATAATTCTGTTACCTACATATATGAGACTATATACAAATTAATAAATCTTTTTCCTGTACAAATTAAAGTATTAATATTAACTAAAAGCAAAGCGTTCTAATTTCTGGCAAAAACAATCCGTATAGCCAATAAATAGATTTAAGTTTATTTAACCTTACATTTTGTCGATAAAACAGGACGGAAATCACAAATTTCTCAAGGACGTTTAGTTTGTTATATTCATTAAAAATATAGCTGTTCTCTGTCGTTATTATATTCTATTTTATTATGTATTATCATCCCATTATAGCAATGTTTGCATTAATAAACATCTGAATATTTACACGACGTGTCAATAATGATTATAATAATAATATTATTAATTGATATTATATTATTAATATTGAAAAATATATCCTCGCATGTTTGATAATATTAATAGAGTAATTTTACTGTACTGTAATATTAATAATAATTAATTTGCTGATTCATGAAAGATTGATGGAATTTTCTAAGTACTCGAACGTAATATATATTCGGACCTCTTTTTTACGACAGTGTAACACATGTTTATTAAATACACGCGAGTCACGTTTATTTTTATACAGGGAATATTGCGCGAATTTGCTAAGATATAAATAAGTCAAGGTACACTCTTCCGAGTCGCAATATTCCATCATGGCTATAATGTATCAACTTTATTATTCATCTCTCTGCATTAACGTATCGTTATCAATTTTCCGTGCAAACTCGAAAAACGGAGAGAAACTGAATATGTGCTACTCTTCCCTCTCTCTCTCTCTCTCTGTCCTTCTCAAACAGATTTCTGATTTCTTTTCCATAAAAATTCTGCGAAACACCAAAGTTTTAATTAAGTACCCTAATTAGAAAATGCTAGTCGCGAATGAGATTCGCAAGCCGAATACATAAACTCCTGAGAGAGAGAAAACACTTTTTGAGGTATAAATATTAAAGAGTTATTGATCGTAACTATATATATTTATCATATAATAAAACTTAAATTAAGTATAAGAGTGATTTACATATAAATTATTAATATTATTTGTATATAAATTATGATTTATATGTAAATTATTAATATTATATATTTATATATATTTATATAAATTATTAATTATATGTATAAACTAATTATCAATTTATATATAAATTATTTCATTATAAATTTATGAATTATATTTAAGGACCCTTTTTATCATTATAAATTATTTTCTTTTATTCCGAGATAAATTTTTAAGAAGCACACCCTGCTAAAAATCGTCAGGATTTTCCAAATGTTAGAAAAAAGTGAGAGAGTTTATCTTTTGTCGAGATTTTAGTTTCGGTTTCCACGTTACTATTTTCGACAGGATTGGATAATACCGAGGCGAGCTTGTCGATGCTGCAATTTGTTCAAGGATCAGTATTGTCGCGAGGCGTGAAGAACACACGCAGGACTGTCGATATCCGGTACGTCAGTTTAATCCGACCGGCGTTCGCGCGAGTTCCGGCAGATAAATAGCGAGCCGGAAAATAGGATGGGGGATGTCACTTTTGCAACTCGAAAATATCTATATAGACGCGCGAGACGAGAGATCGAGCGGGTTCGATCTTACACACCGATTTATCGATGTCCCCGATAAGTCCGGACGAGCCGACTCTCTCTCTCTCTCTATCTATCTCGTCCTTTTGTTTGCCGTGGAAGAGCGACGCTTTGTTCGCAAGATTTCGCCCGCAATCAACGCGCAAATAGTCGCCTCTCCGCTTTTCTGACGTCGTTATCGCTGTGAATTTCTGACGATAAAGAAACCGATGACAAAAGCCCGCTTAGAGATCTCTTCGATAATTAAAAAAGAGCGGATATAAAGTAACGAGCGCGTTGAAACATTAATCTAACTCGAATTAGACTTTGAGTTGAGACTCTATACAGACTCGAAAAATTCAGATCTTCAAAAAGTTCCGGATTTTTGGATTTTAATGAAGACTGAATTAATATAAATATGTACATACAATTGTTTATTTTTAAAGAAGAAATATAGAAAGTTATGCTGATGTAAAATATTTTGGTCAATAAGAAAGTTTTATTTTAAATATTTTTATTTTTAAATAATTGAGACCAACTTTGTGGCTGTTCAAGAAATCTCATATCTAATCTCTACACATAAATATCGATATATAGGCGGTGCCTTTCAGTCAATTGATTGACTCGCGCGATCAGCTGATAGCATCAGCTGATGTAGTTGACACGTGGCGTATCGAAATTTCGAAAAGCTTTCTAAAAATAATCTTATCAATGAAACAAAACATTAAAAAGGTCAAGCTTTATTCAAAAATTCTTCCAATATTTTAACACATTTTAAATGTATAACAATTTTAATTTAAAATTAAATTTTAATAAAATTTGGTCATATTCTGATTGGTTACAACAAACAGACACTATGATCATTTAGTTTACCATGTACTTTAAATTAACAGCCTGAAGAGGACCCAATTCGGGGTCGAAACGTTGCGTCTTTTTTAATAAAAGATTTTTCACCTTAGCCAGTGTCGGTCAATCAATTACTTTTTATCTTTATTTCAAAATTTCAACTGGCAATCGGATCACTTTTTTGTTGTTTAATAAAATTAGTTTATTATATATTATATATTATTAATTAAAGTTTTATTATTATATTATTAATATTATATAATTTATTACATACTTAATATATAATATATATAATTTCAATTGTTGTATATTAATATTTACTACAGTATACATTATTAATTTATATCAATATCAAATATTTTTAAAAATATTTGTCTTAGTTTTTCAAATCCTAACTTTTTAAAAAATAATTTCAAAATTTTAATATATTATAAGATTTTAAATTTATATACTTAATTGATTTGTTTTTTCAAAATTTTATTATCTAGAAATTTAAAAAATTAAAAAAATTTTAAGAGAAATATAAGAAAGTTATTGGATCATAAAATTTTTTAGATTGTCCTTAGAGATACCTTGAACCGGCGTATGAGGACCTCGTTCCAGTTTGTTTCGCGTTGCAACGACCGTGACTGGAGGTACTAAATCCAAGGACTCCTTCGAGGCTCGTCATGCTGGTCCCGGAGGCCAATTTTACATCCTGGGCCGGCAACTGGACGACGATCCTGCACCAGGTTACCTGCAACGACTTCGCTGGCTGCGCTAACGAATGCGACACAGCTTCCGGCGGATTCGATCATCTCTGCACGGCAATCGGGAAAGGGACTCTTGCCTCAACCCCTTCGATGACCCTTTTTTGCACACCCTGCGATTATGCGAGTTGCAACGTCAACGTGTCCTTGTTGCTCGACAGCCTCGAGAGCATCGAGGGCGTCTTTCTGTCCAGGATACCGATGAGAAATTGTAACGCCACGTCCTTCGACGAGGAAGTAGGTTCTTAGAGAAGAAAGATGAGGCGTCGAAATTCAAGAGGGCTTTAAATTCAAGGATTATTTTAAATTCGCAGAGTTAAGCTTCACAAGAATTGGAGAATGAAAGAAATCCTCACACATGCGCGAGCATACGAAATCGAAATGTCTTTAGAGAATTTTAATGACTCGAGGCATTAAAAGTTAAAAGAATTTTTGAAGTAGAATGTAAATTTTGCATAATTAATTTTTATTGAGCCTTCAAAATTATTTTATAAATATAACGCAAAAATTTATATGTTTAATATGATGTGTTTAAAACTCAATATATATTTAATCGAATTTAAAATATTTTAATAATTGGAAAATTAAGAAAAACATCTTGAAATGTGTTCAAACATTGGAACAATTTGTCTCCCTCTTAAAGCTCAGAAAACTTATTCGATTTTTGTCGCAAGGTGGACGACAAGCAAAGATCCTTATCCCGAGCGAGGAGTGATATTTCAAGCTTGGGAGACGATGCGTTTAACCCTTCTGTCAATGCAAAATTTTTCACTTTTCCATCAATGTATGGATCTCCAGGGGTCTCCAACTTTGTGTTTTTGACACATTGCACTGCGACAATTTTTTATAACAGCTGCTGCGCATCAAACATTCTTCTGCGTTATATTTTAAGGGGATTTTGCCGTTGTTCTGTTTTACCGACTTTAAGTTAGTTTAGGTTTACTTTTTATTGTGAATACATAGATTAAAAAATTCTCTACAATAAAAGTACTGATAATATAATAAATGAGTAGCGCTGTTCGGCAACTAATTTTTACTGTTTTATGCCCCAACATCGATTCCGCACGCAAATATACATATATAATTAATCCAAATACGAATCTTTTGATACAGGCTTTCAATCTCATTTTTATTATTTCTGTATTATTTTTTCATGTCATCTCTATGGGGAACGCCATATTTTGTGCACAAATAAACTGCAGAACTTTTGTATTAAATAAATATTGTTACGAGCTGATGCAAGAGGCCGATAAAAAACTAGTAATTTTTTAACTTTTATTGCTTTTTGTACGAAATTACAGCACTCCCCGTTCATTATTATCAGTACTTTAATTGTGGAGAAGGATTTTTCAATCTGTATAGCCAATAAAAGGAAAAACCCTTGAACTCAAAGTCGGTAAAGCAGTCATGGTCAGCATCCCCTTATGAGATTTTTAAATATAATTGCCCTTCAGAAGATTGACACAAGGGTTGAAGATTGTCACCTACATTTCTCTCGAACAAATGGAGGACAATACATAAATCCAAGTATTTTTCCCAGATTTTCGAGTGTTCGTCGGTGAGCAACATCGCCGAGGATCTAGCTATATCCTGCATGTATCGATCCAGAATCGGCAGCATCGCAGAAACGAAGATTCGTCGTTTCGACTGGAGCTTCCTCTTCGTGGCAGTCTTTATAGTCGCCGGCGGATTGGGCAACATATTGGTTTGTCTCGCCGTGGGATTAGACAGAAGACTCCACAATGTGACGAACTATTTCCTGTTGTCCCTGGCGGTGGCCGATCTCCTCGTCAGTCTCTTCGTCATGCCTCTAGGTGCCATACCAGGCTTTCTAGGTAAGAGGTTTTTTTTTTACTTTCTGCTCCACTCTTTTCAAATCTGAATTTTAAAACTCTTTTAATCCTTCTGTCAAAAAACGCCTATCTATAAAGCAAATCCCTTTAAACTCTGGATCGCGCGGATGACATTTCTCATCCACGTGCGCAATTCTGCAATTTTTTTCTTACCTGTCAACAATTTTTAAAATTCAAATTCAATGGTTAAGGGGATCCTAGACGCCGTCCTGTTTTATTGATAAACCATTTTTGCAAAGCAAACCCGTTTAACCCTGAATCGCGCGGATGACATTTCTCATCCACGTGCGTAATTCTGCAATTTTTTTCTTAGCTGTCAACAATTTTTAAAATTCAAATTCAATGGTTAAGGGGATCCTAGACGCCGTCCTGTTTTATTGATAAACCATTTTTGCAAAGCAAACCCGTTTAATCCTGCATCGCGCGGATGACATTTCTCATCCACGTGCGCAATTCTGCAATTTTTTTCTTAGCTTAGTCAAAAATTTTGAAAATTCAAATTCAATGGTTAAGGGGATCCTAGACGCCGTCCTGTTTTATTGATAAACCATTTTTGCAAAGCAAACCCCTTTAACCCTGAATCGCGCGGATGACATTTGTCATCCACGTGCGCAAATCTGCAATTTTTTTCTTAGCTGTCAAAAATTTTGAAAATTCAAATTCAATGGTTAAGGGGATCCTAGACGCCGTCCTGTTTTATTGATAAACCATTTTTGCAAAGCAAACTCTTTTAACTCTGAATCGCGCGGATGACATTTGTCATCCACGTGCGCAATTCTGCAATTTTTTTCTTAGCTGTCAAAAATTTTGAAAATTTAAATTCAATGGTTAAAGGGATCCTAAACGCCGTCCTGTTTTATTGATAAACCATTTTTGCAAAGCAAACCCGTTCAACCCTGAATCGCGCGGATGACATTTCTCATCCACGTGCGCAATTCTGCAATTTTTTTCTTAGCTGTCAACAATTTTGAAAATTCAAATTCAATGGTTAAGGGGATCCTAGACGCCGTCCTGTTTTATTGATAAACCATTTTTGCAAAGCAAACCCCTTTAACCCTGAATCGCGCGGATGACATTTCTCATCCACGTGCGCAATTCTGCAATTTTTTTCTTAGCTGTCAAAAATTTTGAAAATTCAAATTCAATGGTTAAGGGGATCCTAGAGGCCGTCCTGTTTTATTGATAAACCATTTTTGCAAAGCAAACCCGTTTAATCCTGAATCGCGCGGATGACATTTCTCATCCACGTGCGTAATTCTGCAATTTTTTTCTTAGCTGTCAACAATTTTGAAAATTCAAATTCAATGGTTAAGGGGATCCTAGACGCCGTCCTGTTTTATTGATAAACCATTTTTGCTAAGCAAACCCCTTTAACCCTGAATCGCGCGGATGACATTTCTCATCCACGTGCGCAATTCTGCAATTTTTTTCTTAGCTTAGTCAAAAATTTTGAAAATTTAAATTCAATGGTTAAGGAAATCCTAAACGCCTGTTTTATTGATAAACCCATTTGTGCGCACCTTCTTCTTTTCATTGATTGAATATAATAATAAATGCTTTTTCACGATTAAATAAAGCGCAAATCTACCAATTTTATATCAAAAACAAAAAATTTGTTTATATTTATTTTCTTTTATATTTTGATATAATATACAAAAATAAATACAAAATATATATAAAATATGTCAAACTTGTATTCAGCTTTATCCCTTAATGGAACGACGCAGAAACGAATCTGCGAAATATCATCAAGTCGCTCCGAATCGGAATGAAGAGAAATGAGAGTCTCGGATGGAACAGTAGAATAGAATAGGAAATTGAAGGAAAGGTATAAGAAGACGAGGGAATGTTTCGGCGGAATTTTAAGGATCTTCCGGCGAGCGGATAATGAATGCGCCGTTCGCCGGCGCGTTTCGCCTGCGCATCGGAGCGGAATTTCTACAAGGACTTTCACGCACACGCGATCGGATTACGCACGTAATATAATCCGGATTTAAGACGCCGCGATATACGCGGAAACGGGAGACGACACGCGCGAAGGGCTCGCCTCTTCTTCCGGTCTCGCCATATAGTTACGAAATTTCACGTAATAACAACGCGGAAAATATTGCCCCGCAGTTATGATGCAGTTCATTAAGTGCGAGATATTGCGTCACCGCTCTTGCGAAATTTAATCGTTAATTTTCGAGCGACGTAGCAGCCCTGATAACAATCGGACGACCCTGAAGAAGTTCAGAATCTGCCTGCGACCGACGCGATTTATTAAGAACATTTATCGAGATTCATCGTTTTATTAGCTGAGAGAATGCAGATTAATTCGAAATGATTTTTAGGACATTAACTTTATTACCGAGAGCTAATATATTAATTAAGTTCAAAATGACATCTACTTTCACAGCGACGATATAATTTGAAAGTCAACGAGATGTTAAGTCTCCCGAGAATCCTCCCTACATCTTTAATCATACGCTGTGAGAAATCCGATTTCATTATATAATAATTAAATTAATATATCATACTAATTGAAGAATTATTATTCATCAGTTGAGGGAAGATTATTTCATTAATCGTGGATTTTTTCACGCTAAAAATTCTGACGCGTTAATCCGATGGTAAAGTTTGGATAAATCTCTCTCTCTCTCTCTCTCCTAGATTTATGAACGATCGGTCGGCTCGCAACCCCTTCTCTTTCCTCTGACAAGGAACGACTTTATCCGCGAGGCTTTCGCGTCACGTGCCCGCGCTTCATCCTTCACGTGGAACACGCCGACGACACGCGCGGCATTAGCAGACTCATCGTCGCGGCTCGTTTATCTCGTGTACGAGACAGCTTTTGCTCCGCGACCTGGAAGGAATAATTTCCAGGCCGCGCATCAACAGGGTTCACCCCGACTTAAAATCCCGGTAACGCGCGCGCGACGCCTTCATTCGATTCCATCATGTCATTAACCCTTCTGTCAATGCGCAATCTTTCATCTTCCCGTTAATGGACCCGAACACCAGCCGCGAGTATTTTTCTTCCCTTTTTTTTTTTTTTGACGTATTGCGCTGCGTTAATTTTTTTTATAGCGGGCCACATGGAACGTTTCTTCCTATTATATTTTAGGTTTCCGAATACAATGGCCTTTGTATTTTGTTTCGGACGGAGAAACGTTCCGAAACACGTTTTTGGTATTTACCTTTTTTTTTTGCAATTAAGTAAAAACGGGCGATCAATAATGATATTTGAAAATTGGAAAAATCTTTGCAAAATGAAAAAATTTAATTTTACGTTAAATCGTTACTCAATTTATTTGTATAATATAGAATAAAATCTAATTTTATATTAATTATTATTTTGTTCTTTTTGTATAATAAAATTTAATTTACATGATTTTATATATTTAATTATTTTTTCTACTAATGGAATAAAATATAATTTTATTTAATTTTTAATTGTTTAATTTAATTTAATTTAATATTATATAATATCACGATATTGTAATACACGAGCTTAATTAGGTTTGTTTAATTTTTGCTTTTTTATTTATTTTCTATACTTTTTATACTTGTTGATATTATATATTATATATTTAATTATTTTTTTCTACAACAGAAAAAAATATAATTTTACATTGGATCATTATTAATTGATTATTTTTTATATCAGTTTCTTTGGATATATGTTTATTGATAGAATATGACGCTCCGCCAAAACATCAAAGGCATTTTTCATCTCTCTCTTTCTTTCTTTCTCAGATCGTCGATTCTATATAATATCGTTGGAAATAATGGCGCTCCGCGCGATTATTCGTCTAATTTCCCCTCCGGGAAAAACATTTGCAAGAACGATAATCTTCTTCCAATCTTTTTCTCGAATCTTTTCTGAGCTGAATGCTGGCGAGTCTAATCCAGTACAGTCATTAAATTTAAAATATCTGAAACCTTTGAACTTTGGCACTTTTAGAATTTCGTGTAATCGCGGATTTAAATCCCAAATTTTCCCCGTTTATGAGAAACTTTGGGGACTCGCAAACTTTAAATGTCGGAATCTGCAATGTCCGTCTCTTTTATGTACGGGAATTTGATCGGAATTCCATTATTAGATTTCCTTCGCCACACATTAAAAACAAAAGAACACAAGCTTGTACACAGAATGATTTGCGAAAAAAATTAGTGGAGCAAATTCCTTCGTAAACAAAGATATTGATACCCATCAATTATCGATGCTTCTTTTAACGCAAAAATATAATATAAAATACATTTAAATTCAATTAATATTTTTTGACAGAAATCAGCTGATCAACTGACAAAAATATTAATCGAATTTAAAGTATTATAACATATATATTATTTGAAACATATTAATATTTTTTATTTTATATTTATATTATAAAATTTAAAATTAGCAAATTAACGCATAAAGGAAGTAAAAAGTTCGGTTCGTCTTGCGCGTATCTAGAATTTTTATATAATAGATATATAAAAATTCATATACATAAAATATTGAAAAGTTATTAAAATATTTATATTGAAATACGATTTATATATGTTATCTTCTCTCTCCCTTCCTCTTTCTTTTCTTAGAGCTAGCAAACAAGAATTAGTGCTTTGGCAATATTACGTCGAATAATTCTCAACGTCCTTGATCCGATTACAAGGTGTCGTGATTATGGCGCTAATTAATTCGCGTTTCGACTGAAATTGCGAGCAACGAAGCACGCCGTATGGCCATTAAGTACTTTCTAGTGTCCAATCTACGTCGGCTCGATGACAGCCTACAATTATCCTCAAGATGACATCTAATCTGTCATAAATCGTAATGAAATTCGCGTCAAACACACCCTCAAACTTTCGGCTCATTTAATTACAAAGTTTAATCATTATCGTTAATTTATGACACACTGAAACAACTATGCGCGCGCCATTCTTCGTTTTTTATATATAAAGAGAATCTGAGAATGGTATCTTTAAAAAAATAATATCAAGTATATATATTTAAA